ATGTATAATTATGTGGAGTAGTACTGACCAACGTTCCGGCGCGGCACTTTGATGGTGAAGCTAGCCTCGGCGTCCTTCTTCCCTCGCAGCGCGGGGTCCTGCTGCGGCTCGCAGCCGCGCGCCCAGTCGCCGCACGTCTCGCGGACTGACACTATTATACTGGAACGGGGATATATATTCATAATTGATATTACATACAGGCGTGGGAGAGTCATGCTTCGGCACTGCTGGAGTGATATCAGGGTGTAGTGACCCAGAAAACCGACGTGTTTCGTTGAGTGAGTGAGATTACCTGAGGTCCAATTATCCTTTCTCCCCTTTCCGTAATAAGACAATAATATCGGCATGTATTACCTGATGATGATGATGTCAATGTCATAAATTAAGTACTTTAACTTAATTTTAATATTTATCCAGCAAATTTTTAAGAAATAAATACGCTGTTAGACGCTAAAAAATCGCGACGTCACAATACACAATCTCGTACTGCGACGTTACAGCATAAATACCTGCTTAAAACTTGATGTAGGGTCATAATTTTCGCTGATTTTCTACTTAAACCCTAAGGTTGACTGGTAGAGAATGCCATATGGCATTAAGTTCGCCTTATGTGCCATAATAAAATTGTGTACATAAAAGAATAAATAAATAAATAATTACCTGCGAATCAAGTCCTTCTTGTTCTTGATAGCCTTCCGCAGCGGCTCGCGCAGTTTGAGCTGCACAAAGTCCTGTAACTCAGCGTATATGGAGCGTCGCGCCGCGTCCGCGAACACTGTCTCCATGCGAGCCATCAGTACTTGTAGACCCTTGATCATTGCTATCACTTCTATCATTGCGAATTTTTCTTCTGAGGTGTAATTGTAGCGGGTTGCCTGGGTAAAAAAAATATTTAATATTAGAATTTCTTCTTCGTCGGCTGCCTCGTTGGTAGAGTGGTTGCAAGTGCGAATGACGCGTACAAGGGTGTCGGGTTCGATTCCCGGGTCGGGCGAAGTAATAAATAAATAATAAAATCTACAATCTACAACGTGATCTACAATCGATATCGAAGCCAAAAACATGGTTTTTAGATTTTTTTTATCTGTTTGTCTGTATGTATGTCTGGGATGAACTCAAAAAGTACTGCATGGATTTACTTCAAATTTAGCATGATTATTACTAATAGGTCGGTTCAAAATATATAGGCTACATAATAATATCGTCTACGAGGGAGGAGCTTTTACAAGTCCGCCACAACCTCCCAAAACCGCTGCAACTCCTGTGCACCAGGATCTACAGTAGATACAACCATGACAACACCGGAACACTGAAGTCCGGCGCGTCCCAGGGACATGAGTAACTGTCTTGGTTCCCGCAACGAAGTGAATCAGTCTACGAGGGAGGAGCTGTGAATCACTATTCCACGCGGACAAAGTCGTGGGCGCAGCTAGTAAATAAATACAATTGTTCAAAAACATATTTTTTTGAAAACTTTGCCCCGAAATTAAATTAGGATCTTCTCCTGTGTCGTGGGTGCGTTTACAAACATACAAGTTCACATACACACAGACCAGAAACAACAATTTGTGGATCACAGTGTTGTTCCGTGCGGGAATCGAACCCGCGACACGTCGCACGGCAGTCGGTTGGCCAGCCACCGCACCGCAGTCCAATATGACTCACCCTCTCATATTCCTCAGCGTCCGGCGGGCAGCGCGGGTTGCTGGCGTGGTCAGTGGGGTGTAGCAACTTCCAGGAACACAACTCAGTCAGCACCGAGCACCACGAGGACAACAGCTGCAGGCCGCGCAGACACAGCTCCGTCACCGCCTTGTTCTCGGCGTCCGAGCCCGCCTCCTTGAACGTCGTCGTCACCTGCGGGGACGGCCGACAAATCAAATCAAATCATTTATTTGATCGATCTTCAGGTGATCGTAGGGCTGCCTTCTACCTTGGACAAAGGTTAAGCATTGCCATTCAACGTGGTAATGCTGCCAGTCTTTTGGGCACCCTACCTCACGATAATGATGAGGAAAATTTTTTTTTTGATGCCTTATTATAGCTTATTTATTTATTACTAGCGACCCGCCCCGGCTTCGCACGGGTGCAATATGCATGTATTATACAAACAAACCTTCCTTAAGATTCACTCTATCTATTAAAAAAAACCGCATCAAAATCCGTTGCGTAGTTTTGAAGATCTAAGCATACATACGGACATACAGCGAAAGCGACTTTGTTTTATACTATGTATTGATTACCTTTATTTGCTAATATGGGTAAATTAAGTTGTTAGCAGATAAGTAGATACAGTTCCGACCATATTACGCCTTGAGGCATGCAAATTACAAAATTTACAAAAATTACAGTTTTACAATGTTATTTGGAAAAAAATCAAGTACCTTCAAAATTCAAATATTCAACACAATTATTGTAATACTAGCTGACCCGGCGAACTTCGTCCCGCCTAAAGATTATTTTTCTCACTTTTTAAACCTTCCCTGGACTACCAAGAACATTTCAAGAGCAAAATTATCCTAATCGGTTCAGCCGTTCTCGAGTTTTAGCGAGACTAACGAACGGAAATTCATTTTTATTTACATAGATAGATAAGTGAATTCAAAATATAATGTCACCAATTTAATTAAAATTTAATGTCAATAAATGTATTTGTCGAATAAAATGTCATGAATTAGATTAAATAAAATGTCATGAAAAGGACAATGTCCAAAAATATGTGGGATTCCACACCGATTGGTTTACATATCCTATCAAATGCATGCAAAACTTACAAGATATAGAAATTTACTTAATGAAACGCGTTAGTAGTTAGGGGAAAAGGTGAAGTCATCTAAAATGTCATTAACATAATAGACGAATTACTCGCTCCTACAATACGGTAGTCGACAGGTAGTCAAATTCAATACTTTTATTGAAATGTCAAAAACGATACTTTTCTATGAATCTTGTATTGGATCGCAACTTATGACGTCATCATATTTCTGCGTCAAATAGTATACTTGTTTCCTTAAAATTAGCGAGAAAAAATCCAAAAGTAGGTAAATTGTCAAATCAATGGATGAGAGTATGATTGTTTTTTAATTATTTATTGCATTGAAAAGTTCAAACAATTTATTTTAAACCTAGGAAACTAGCCGATTATCAAATTCAAATTGGTTATTTGCCTTAATCAAAAATAAATTATTTCGACTGTTCAATACAATAAAATATTTAAAAAAAATCACACTTTCATTAATTGATTTTATGACCAACTCAATTTTAGTATTTTTTCAGCAAATTTTTAAGAAATAACTATGCTGTTTGACGCTAAAAAAACGTGACGTCACAATACACAATCTCGTACAAAATTCATAGAAAACTGTCGTTTTTGACAGTTCGAAAAAAGTATTGAATTTGACTAGTTGACAAGATCTTACAGCCTAAAAGTCATCGAAAGTTCCCCTCGGTTTTCCTACGATTCCATCATCAGATCCTGGCCTGATGAAAATAGGACTCTCTCGGGAGTATAACCTTTTAAATACAACAAAAAAATTGAAAATCGGTTCACAAATGGCAGAGTAATCGATGAACAAACAAAAAAGAACCAATTAATTATTATTTTCCGACTAACCCACGTAACTGTTTGACGAGGAGCTCGACTAGTTTCAAGCCATGCTAGAGGCTCATATTCAACGGATGATGTCATAAAATCCTACATTGCACATGCGAAGTTTACAATCGAATTAACACGAGTAGAAAATCCCAACGAACAACTGTTGGGCAGAAAGCCCGCCAGCCACGATCACCTCGCCTGGTCGGAGGATCCTCCTTTTCCGAGACAGACCTCTGAGTTTGTTTCGGCATTTCTTCTCAGAGTAGTCAGTTAGGAAATGTCGACCTCATCGTTCGCTTGATAAAATTGACGTGTAAAAGTGCTGCCTTATAGCCTATTTGCAGAAATAAATTTACTTGTTTCACCGATCTTAGGGAACTATACTCTCTGTTCGCTAAAATAAGAACCATTATCTGAACATTGTACCTGTTCTATTTCTTGAAGTCGGTAAAAATAGACTCAGTGACGTCACTCCGGTCAACCTAGAATCTCCAATGGAAAAAACGTGGTTAGAAGTATCGTAAATTCGATGCAAAATATAGATAACTTACCTCGTTGCTATATCTGGCTAGTTCGGAGATGTAGTTCTGATGCTCCTCTCGGATCTGGGGCAGGTGGACCATCAGGTCCGCTTGTGGAGACGGAGGGTTGGGGCTCGATGATAGGGGCCATCTACAGAGGTAGGTACATATTGTTAATAGAGACAGATAGACAGAAATATCACATCTTAATCTTAACTAATATTATTATCTATTATCTATGTATATTTATTTATTTCAATTAAATAGTATAACATTACAGTCATAAAACCAAGGCGTTATACATTTCAAATAATTATAAAAAGAAACAAAAAAGAAAACGGAAAAGTCCATTAAACTGTCAAACACCAAGCGGTCACTGGTGACCGCAACCTATTGTTCTTTAATTGTGTCTATAATAACGGTACTCGACGAGTTAAATTAAATGACAAATTGCAAACTTGGTAGAAAAATAAAATCAATACATAGTATAAAACAAAGTCGCTTTCGCTGTATGTCCGTATGTATGCTTAGATCTTTAAAACTACGCAACGGATTTTGATGCGGTTTTTTTTAATAGATAGAGTGATTCTTAAGGAAGGTTTGTATGTATATATATATTGCACCCGTGCGAAGCCGGGACGGGCCGTTAGTAATATATAAAAATGAAACCCGTTTCCCGTTGTCACGCCATAGTTATGCTATACAAAACACAACAAAAAAAAAATCAGACAAATCAGTCTGGATTTGGCTGATTTTTTTTTTTTTTGTTGTGTTTGTTATTGTCAGAATGTTCTTGTGATAGAAAGATAGAAAAAAAATCTGAAAATCCTACGGGAACGGGAGAAAACGGGATTGCGGCTGCAAAGTCGCGGGCGGATGCTAGTAATATTATAAATGTGAAGTTTTGTCTGTTTTTTTATTACTCAATCACGTCAAAATGGCTGAATGGATCGTGATGAAATTTGGAACAAAGATAGATCTGGTCTGCAATACCACATAGACCACTTTTATAACACGATAACGCGGGCGAAATCGCGGGGAGAAACTAGTTAGTAATTTTCGTCACGATGTTTTCCTTCGCCAAATGTCTTATAAGTAAGTGTGGGACTAAGTGTGGGAGAGCCATGCTTCGGCACTGCTGGGCCGGCTCGACCGGAGTGATACCACCAACGAGCAGAAAACCGACGTGAAGCAACCACAGCGTTGTGTTTCGTCGTGTGAGTGAGACCGGAGGCCCAATTACCCTCCCTTTCCCCAATCTCCCCAATCCCTGAATCCCCAACGATCCTCAAACTCCTAATCCCCAAAAAGCCGGTAACGCACTTGTAACGCCTCTGGTGTTCCAGGTGTCCATGGGCGACGTCGATTGCTTACCATCAGGTGATCCGTCTGCTCGTTTACCGGCTTATGCCATACAAAAAAATAATAATTGTGAAGTCCTGAGTCCTTAGTACGAGTTTGTTTTACGTATAAAGTATTCGTAACGAGTACGCGTTCGGCGCTCTGATTGGTTGCTTCATTGGCGCCGGCCAATCAGAGTGCCGAACGCGTACTCGTTACGAATACTTTATACGTACGCGTATCTAAATCAAACTTGTACTAAGGCTTCAGTGTTCCGGTGTTTTCATGGTTGTATCTACTGTAGATCCTGGTGCACAGGAGTTGCAGCGGTTTTGTGAGGTTGTCCCATAAAAAAGGGTAAAATAACTTACTTGCTACTATCATAGTGTTTAGATCGCTTGATGTAGTTGAACGGGGCGATCTGCATGTCACCGAATAGAGGCACCACTTCTAGGTTCTGTAAAAACAATGTAGAATAAATGTAAATTGTTAGAATTAAAATACATATTTTGGGCAATACTACCAGTCTTTTCGGCACCCTACCTCACGATAGCGATGAGGGAATGTTTTTTGATGCCTTTTTTTTAATGGGGGAAAATCATCGAATGACTTCTCCCGCCTGGGTGAGGCGGAAGGGAGTGTCAGACTTACTGATTAAAAACCACCCCGTTCCTTTCTCTGCACTCCGAGCCGGAGCCCCTGTAACCCGTTAGATTCTAGACGACTCCAAATAGGCATCAGCCCTATTGGGCCCCATCCGTGGTGGTCTGATGGCTCTTTGAGGCGCGCGCGGAACGTTGCCTTACGATAGCTTTTTTATTATTATTACTTTTTTTAAGGTGTAAATATATTAGTTTTTAGTTATTAATATTTGAAGTTATATATATTTATTTAATTTCAATTCTTATTAATAAATTTTTGGGCAACATTTCAAACTATAGCTTTTTTTTGCTGTCAGGCCGAAACCTTCAAAAGGCGACTATCTTTTTGGGTAGAAAGACTAGGGAGTCTGGGCGACATACCTCACTAAAACCACCCCGATGGCCACCATCAAATCATCGAATGACTGCTCCCGCCTGGATGAGGCGGGAGAGTGTCAGACTCTTACTGACTAAAAACCACCCCGTTCCTTCTCCTGCACTTCGAGCCGAAGCCCCGGTAACCTGTTAAGTCCTCCGCGGTTCCGTATCGGTATCAGCCCCATTGGGCTCCATCCGTGGTGGTATAATGTCTCCTTGTGTCGCGGCCCGCTCGGCGCCGTACGCTCGGGTCTGTTTCTGGTCGGACGGCGAGCTAGCCATGCTCGAGATCGTCAAGCGATCCCCGACGCCCAGAGTGTCCTTCGCGACAGCTGGGGTGTCAGGATACTTAAAGAAATATACCTAGTTAATTTTATTTATTTACCTTAAAGATCCTGTCGATGCGGTCGAGACGAATCTTCTTTTTCTGATCCAAGCGGTTGATGTTGCAGACCTCGGAGTCCATTAGGAAGAGACCAAAACCCATTACCTGAAGAAACAGAAACATATACAAAAATAATTTTAATTGGTCAAGAGAAGACATCGTGAGGAAACATACTACATAACACCACGCCTTTTATCCCCGAAGGAGTAGCAGAGGTGCACATTATGGCACTTAATGCCACTGTACATTGTAACACTCACTTTTCACTATTTATTTTGAAAAATTGAAACAAAAAATGTTATATTTTTACGCGACATCGCCGAGACTGCGCACGCTGCTCATGATAGAAGAACCCCTCTGTCGCTCGAAACTAGTAGAGCTTTTCTCAGGATATTCACGGGAGGAACCCGCGATTTTAGTTAATAAAAGTTATATCCTAAAATTCATATTTTACGCGGACGTTACGGAGGCCCAATTAGCCCCCCCCCCCCCTCTTTCCCCAATCCCTGAATCCCCAACAATCCTCAAATTCTCAATCCAGAAGGCCGGTAACGCACTTGTAACGCCTCTGATGAGCCAGGTGTCCATGGGCGACGCCGAAATCATCGAATGACTCTCGCCCTCGGTGAGGCGGGAGGGAGTGTCAGACACTTACTGACTAAAAGCCACCCCGTTCCTACTCCTGCACGTCGAGCCGGAGCCCCGGTTACCCGTTAGGTTTTCCGCGACACTACGATTGCTTACCATCAGGTGATCCGTCTGCTCGTTTAACGGCTTATCCCATTAAAAAAAAGGACGAAGTCGCGGGCAAGAAATTATACATACATACATAACATCACGCCTTTTATCCCCGAAAGGGTAGGCAGAGGTGCACATTACGGCACTTAAAGACACCGTAATGTAACACCCACTTTTTCACTATTTATGTTATGAGTCCCATGTAATAGGGGGTGAGCCTATTGCCATATACCGGGCACAGTTCCAGACTCCGTGCTACCACTGAGAAAAACTCAGTAATACTTTGCCCGACCCGGGAATCGAACCCGAGACCCCTTGCCCGGCAGTCGCACTTGCGACCACTCAGCCAATGAGGCAGTCAAGAAATTACGATCTTACCTTGACAAGCATATGTTTTTCAGACGGCGTCAGGTACATTTTAGTCTCGAACATATGAACGCAGATGTTCACTACATCTGCTAGCAGCTCTTCATACCCTGGAATATTGAAAATTGAGAATTATTTTCCGACTACTTTCGGTTCAACTCGAACACTTTCGGATGGTACAAATGATACAATAATATATATTTTACCCCCACAGTCTCCTAAGAGACAGGCGTGAACTTATGTATATATGTACTTTATGATGACTTTCGATAGCCTTCGGACAAGCTCTGACAATTTCGGGGGAGCCCCAATACTTTCAAAGCAACAAGCTTGAACTTTCGGAAAAGGTCGAACTCTTTCGGATGAATCCAAGGACTTGTATGCCTGGCTTACACTGAGTGGGTGACCCTTTTAGCACAGGCATGTTTTTATTTATTCATTTTTATTTAAAATGCTTCATGCACAAAATGTACAAAAAGGTGGACTTAATGCCGCACGCATTTTCTACCAGTCTGACCTTTGGGTGATGCAGAGAAGAGTAAATGGTAAGTGCAAGAGGCAAGCAGTGATTTTATTTAACAATGAAAGATAAACTAATATAATGTGCATGTTGTCAGCGTCTCTCTTCTATTTCTTCTGTTTTAATTTTTCAACTCAATGTTTTTATTACTTACACTGTCACAACTTGATTGTCTTTTTTATATTTTACTAGCTTTTACCTGCGGCTTCGCTAGCGTCACAAAAGGATAAAAAGTAGCCTATGTGACATATACTAATACATACAGCGCCATCTATAACAATACTTTTGTTTTCCCTCGGGAATAGCAAATTTTTCCGGGATAAAAAGTACCCTATTATTTAATCCAGACTTCTAACTTTACGTCTGCAAAAATTTAAAGCAATCGGTTTAGTAGTTACTGCGTGAAATCGGAACAAACAAACAAACAAACTCACTTTCCAATTTATAATATTAGTAAGGATTTATGCTGCATCGTGCCTGGTGCTGAATAAATGGTTCTTTTTTTTTCTTTCTGACTTTCAGATAACCTCAAACCATTGCAGAGGAGTTCGATAGAAACATGTATGTATGTATGCGAATATCTCGCGATTGGCTGAGCCGAATTTGATGCGGTTTTCAGAAAAGCGTTTGTTATACTAAGAACGTTTCAAAAAAGAGGGGATCAAGTTGTATTTTTTGACCTAGTTGCAAAAAATATATAGTTATACATAGTTTCCTTTGCATCTATTACAAAAAACTGTATCAAAATCATACATAGACAGACAGCGAAATGCGACTTTGTTTTAGACTGCCTCGTTGGCCGAGTGGTTGCAAGTGCGACTGCCTTTCTGTGTAAGGGGTCTCAGGTTCGAATCCCGGGTGGCGCATAGTTTTACTGGGATTTTTTTTCAGATGTTCTCAGTAGTAGCATGGATTCTCGGATTGTTTCCGGTATATGCCAATAGACTCACCCCCTATTACATGGGACTCATAACATAAATAGTGAAAAGTGGGTGTTACATTGTACAGCGGCATTAAGTGCCGTAATGTGCACCTCTGTTTACCACTGCGGGGATAAAAGGTGTGACGTTATGTTATGTGCTTTATTTTCGACTCATTTCGACTAAAAGCTCGAACACTTTCTGACTTTGAAAACTTTCGGACGAACCCGAACAATTACGGAGGAACTCGAAATTTATAAATAGGTGAAATAACTCAAATAATTACTGGTCGCGAAAAAACTACTAGATTGATCTGGATGAAATTTAAACAAAAAACAAATTTAAACAGATAAATTATAGTCATTCAGTATTTATTTATTAATTATAGACACTCAGTATCGCGCGAGCTACTTAACCGGGGCTCCGGCTCGACGTACAGGAGTAGGAACGGGGTGGTTTTTAGTCAGTAAGAGTCTGACACTAGGGCGGGAGAAGTAATTCAATGATTTTCACCCCTTGAAAAAAATTGACTACGCGGACAAAGCCGGGACCAGAAGATAGAATCACATAAAATTAACACACCGTTAATCTTCTCCAAGGCATCTTTAACAGTGTCCCTGATTTTGTTCTGAGTAGCGAGGAACATGGACAGGTTCTGCGACTCCTGCAGGCTCTGACTATCTGACATCACCTTCAGGAACTGTGCAGCTCTGAAAGCACATCAAATTTAAGTTAATGTACGAATAGAATTTATTATTAACTAAACATTATTGAGGAAATCTTTGGTCATGTGGTCAAAAGTGTTGGAGAGCCATGCTTCGGCACTGCTGCGTCGACTCGACCGGAGTGATACCACCAACGACCAGAAAACCATAGTGAAACAATCACAGCGTTGTGTTTCGTCGTGTGAGTGAGGTTACCGAAGGCCCAATTACCCTCCCCTTCCTCAATCTCCCCAATCCCTGAATCCCCAACGACCCTCAAACTCCTAATCCCCAAAAGGCTGGTAGCGCTCTTGTAACGCCTCTGGTGTTCCGTATGTCCATGGACGACGCCGATTGCTTACCATCAGGTGATCCGTCTGCTCGTTTACCGGCATACCATTAAAAGAAAAAAATATACACGCTCTCGAAAAACTTCGACAAGACAAGTGATGGTAAAAAACAAAACATATTGTCATAGAAATAAGGAATAGTTATATAGCAATAGGCTCACCCCCTATTACATGGGACTCATAACATAAATAGTGAAAAGTGGGTGTTACATTGTACAGTGGCATTAAGTGCCGTTATGTGCACCTCTGCCTAGCCCTTCGGGGAAAAAAAGGCGTGATGTTCTGAAAAGTTAGGAATTTAATCATTCTTTCATGTAATAATAATTGTAATAAACTGCTCAAGACTAATGTTGCATGAATAATACGAAAACAAAAACGATTAAAATCGTGTACTTGCCTACGTCAAAAATAAATTATTTCGACTGTTCAATACAATAGAATATTAAAAAATAATCACACTTTCATTCATTGATTCTATGACCAACTTCATTTTAGTATTGTTCCAGCAAATATTTAAGAAATAACTATGCTGTTTGACGGTAAAAAAACGTGACGTCACAATACACAATCTCGTACAAAATTCATAGAAAACTGTCGTTTTTGACAGTTCGAAATAAGTATTGACTTTGACTAGTTGGCAAGTACTCAATTGTAAAAACGATTTCTTTTGTCACTTTCGGGAGCGTTCCATTTAGGTACACCCTTTATAGACCATTAGATCACATAACATAACATCACGCCTATTATCCCCGAAGGGGTAGGCAGAGGTGCACATTATACCACTGTACAATGTAACACCCACTTTTCACTATTTATGTTATGAGTCCCATGTAATAGGGGGTGAGCCTATTGCCATATACCAGGCACGATTCCAGACTCCGTGCTACTATATAATATTTAAAAACCCAGTAATACTTTGCCCGACCCGGGAATCGAACCCGAGACCCCTTGCCCGGCAGTCGCACTTACGACCACTCGGCCAACGAGGCAGTTTCGGCCAACGAGCAGGCACCATTAGATCATTAGACTTTTTTTTTTTTTTTTTTAAGGGGGGAAAATCATCGAATGACTGCCCCCGCCTGGGTGAGGCGGGAGGGAGTGTCAGACTCTTACTGACTAAAAACCACCCCGTTCCTTCTCCTGCACGTCGAGCCGGAGCCCTGGCAACCCGTTAGGTTCTCCGCGACAGATCATTAGACTACAAACCTTCTATATGTTGAATAATCGTTCTTGACGGAGCTCTTCATATTCTTCAGCTCGTCCAACACAGCGAACATGTTGACAAACTTTCCCAGTGTGAGTAGATATGCTTCTGACACGAAATCCCTTCTCTTCTCCGCATGACATAGTCTTCTGACCTCGCCACAGAAGCGCTCTATTGCTTTGCGCTGTAAAAATAAATTTATATATCTACTAGCGACCCGCCCCGGCTTCGCACGGGTGCAATATGTATATACATACAAACCTTCCTTAAGAATCACTCTATCTATTAAAAAAAACCGCATCAAAATCCGTTGCGTAGTTTTAAAGATCTAAGCATACATACGGACATACAGCGAAAGCGACTTTGTTTTATACTATGTATTGATTCTTTACCCTCACCCCCTATTACATGGGACTCATAACATAAATAGTGAAAAGTGGGTGTTATATATATATAATATATCCTTACTAATATTATAAATTGGAAAGTGAGTTTGTTTGTTTGTTCCGCTTTCACGCCGTAACTACTAAACCGATTGCTTTGAATTTTTACAGACGTAAAGTTAGAAGTCTGGATTAAATAATAGCGTACTTTTATCCTAGAAAAATTTTATATTCTCGAGGGAAAACGAAATTATTGGTATAGATGGCGCTGTGTGTATTGGTATATGTCACATAGGCTACTTTTTATCCTTTTGTGACGCGAGCGAAGCCGCGGGTAAAAGCTAGTAATATATAGAATGAAACCCGTTTCCCGTTGTCACGCCATAACTTGAGAACGGCTAGACCGATTCGGCTGATTTTTTTTGTTGTGTTTGTTATAGTCAGGAGAAGGTTCTTATGATAGAAAAAAATCCTAATAATCCTACGAGAACGGGAGAAAACGGAATTGCGCGTACTGTTATAGTGTTGGGGTAGTTCGGAATAAAAAGGTCCAATTTGCAGTTTAATAAAATAATCGTTTAACTCGTCGAGTACCGGTTTTATAGACACAATTATAGAACAATAGGTTGCGGTCACCGGTGACCGCTTGGTGTTTGACAGTTTAAAATCAACAATTAATGTTTTTACAGGGCCTTTAGCCAAACGCCACTTTAGCGCTTGTCTACAGAGAGAGTAGAAAACTAAATGTATGGGGATGACACTGACAATGTCAAAATTTACGTCAATTCCATACAATTTGGTTTTCTATTCTACATGTAGACAAGCGCTAAATGGCATTTGGCTACAGCTGCTGGTTACATAAAACGGCACTGAATAAGGAAACGATTGGTTAGATTGGATTATGAATTAGTACTGTTTGACTAATGGGATGACAGGCAATGCCCTGGGTGGTCATACACACATGCTTCAAGTAGAGTAGTAGGGAAGCTAGTAAATACTATTTTTCCTCTCTTTCTAACTTACCTGAAAATACATGAACTGCAGTAGCTTGTCAACTTCAGGCGCCAGTACTTGCACGGTCCTCTCGTATATATGTACTCGGTCTGGCTGTTCGTTGGAGCGCGGCTGAGGGATGGCTCGGCTACAGCAACGCCACGTGTACAGCATCACTGCGTGGTCGTTACCTTCTTCTAGGAGCTCGTTCTGGGGACAAGAATGGAGTATTTTTTTTATGGTATAAGCCGGTAAACGAGCAGACGGATCACCCGATGGTAAGCAATCGTCGCCGCCCATAGACACTCTAAACACCGAGACACTTCAAGTTCGTTACTGGCCTTTTGAGAATTGGGAATTTGAGGATTGTGGAGGATTCGGGAATTGGGGAGACTGGGGAGGGGGGGGGCGTAATTGGGCCATCCGGTAACCTCACTCAAATGACGAAACACAACAAGCGTTGTTTCACGTCGGTTTTCTGGTCGTTGGTGGTATCACTCCGGTCGAGCCGGCCCAGCAGTGCCGAAGCATGGCTCTTACATGCTCTCACAATTTAATTATTAGACAAGTCTATAATTTTAATAACTCTGCCAGCTGCGTGTCCCCCATTCCCAGGGTTAAAAAGTAGCCTATGTATTTACTCCAAACAACAATCAACTCTGTTCCAAATTTCATCCCCGTCCTAGGGTAGATGCCTAATTTTTATTTTAATGTTCGTCTGGTAGATTATTTTAAATCATTAGACACGTATTTCTTATTTTCTTACAGAAACCTATACTTTGAACGATATATTGATTTGAAATGTCGCGTGACGTCACTTCTATGTACATTTTATACGTAGAAATGACGTTTAAGCCCCCACTCCTAAACTTTGATTCGTTTTATCTAAGTATTGTTTTATTATACGACAAAATAAAAAAATACGTGTCTAATATTTTTTCATTACCTAACTTACGGACTAATTAGATTTTTAATTTTCATACCCTGTCATCATCCCAATTACTGTTTACTGCGGGCAACCTAACATTCGACGAACTTATATTTGCGTTTGGTAGGTAACTATATCTAGCGATTAGGCCGCAAACTTAAGTTTGTTTTTTCATGTATACACTTTTTGGCATCTATGCGTTCGGCGTTCTGATTGGCCAGCACCAATGACCCAACCAATCAAAGCGCCGAACGCGTACTCGTTACGTTTACTTTAAACGTAAATTAAACTCGTACTAAGGCCACGGTATCGAGCTTCCCGCTTCACCAGTACGTCACTCCAATGCTCCCCGTTTCTGCTAATAGATGGGTAAACCAAATAAAGGACATCAACCACTTTGTATGAAGTTTGGGCTAGAACATGAACATATAAAATGCACTATTTTAGATTTTATTGGGTGGCTTACAATACAAAGAAAACGTATAGATTAGAAGTTTTGTATCAAAATGATTAATATAATACAAAACAAAAAAAAGTTTAATATTTTAGAAATATTTTTTATATTTGTAAAACTATTCATTTTCATATGTTCATAAAACATGGTCTAAAAACTGAGCAAGTGGAGTTACATTTTCATACCTTGCCCACCTTAAATACCATACCACAGACATGATATGAGCGCAGCAACAATCAGAATATTCAATTTAAACTGTCAAACACCCCGAGGACACCGGTGACCGCAACCTATTGTTCTATAATTGTGTCTACAAAACCTGTACTCGACGAGTTAAAATCTTTTTTTATCGTTTTTATTATTATTTACTTTGACACTCCCGAATAGAGACTATATTTACCAAATATTATTACTAAATTATGTATAAATTCCTTTTTTTCCAATACGGTTGTTCAACACTTATTAAAACACAACACTTACGCCCATTTTGGTTGAAGTCCTTTTGGTATGAAGAAAAAGGAATATACTTACTAAGTTGGCATGTACGGTAGCCTCCTCAATGTATTTAGCAATACCAGTAACGAAGCCATTGCGGTCCTCGAAGTTGGTGTCGAAGTTAGCCTGGTAGAGAATAGAGCAGGGCGCCGCCTCGATGCAGGGCTGTTCATCTGGAAAATTTAAATGGATGTTGTTTAATAAAAGTAAAATGTTGTGGTGGTCCGGAGGTATTTAAGTGTGGGAGAGCCATGCTTCGGCACGAATGGGCCGGCTCGACCGGAGTGATACCACGGCCGAGCAGAAAACCGACGTGAAGCAACGCTTGCGTTGTGTTTCGTCGTGTGAGTGAGGTTACCGGAGGCCCAATTTGACTGCACGGTTGGTGCGGTGACTGAGCAACCGGCTGCCGAGTGCCGTGCAACGTGTCGCGGGTTCGATTCCCGCACGGAACAACACTTTGTGTGATCCACAAATTGTTGTTTCGGGTCTGGGTGTCATTGTGTATGTGAACTTGTATGTTTGTAAACGCACCCACGACACAGGAGAAGATCCTAGCGTGGGGTAACGTTTTTATCTAAAAAAAAAAAAAAAGCCTTCTCCTTCCCCAATCTCCCCAATCCCTGAATCCCCAACGATCCTCCAAACTCCTAATCGCCGGTAACGGACTTGTAACGCCTCTGGTGTTCCAGGTGTCCATGGGCGACGCCGATTGCTTTCCATCAGGTGATCCGTCAGCTCGTTTACCGGCTTATGCCATAAAAAAAAAGTTCAAGATCTTCTCATGCATGTAGGTGTGTGTTCAAAACCTACCAACGGCAAGTACCAATATGACTTTTTCCGAGTTATATGTACTTTCTAAGATTATTTAGACACCACTGACAAACGGTGAAGGAAAATATGGTGACAAAACCTGGACCTACAAACTTTTAATTAAGAGATTGAAATCGAATTGAATCGAAATGCTCAAATCTTCTCTGTGTGAGAAGACGCTTTGTTCAGCAGTGGACACTTATAGGGTGTTGATAATAATAATGATGATTGTAGGAATCATAGTAATTGGCGTTCCATAGTCTCTGCCTACCCTCCATGGGAGACAGGCGTGAAGTTATTATGTATGTATAATTGTATAATGATGATAAATAAAAGTATTTATCATAGCTATTGTGAGACATACTAAGTTAAGTAAAAACGCGGGTTACTCACGTGAATATACTGAGAAAAGCTCTACTAGTACTAGCGGTCGCAGCGACGTCGCGCAGCTCACTGAGTGTTAGTGAGTGCACAGTGAGCTGCGCGACGTGCACGCTGCTCATGAGGAAGAACCCCTCTGTGGTTTGAAACTATACTCGGAATTTTAATTCGATTCCAGATTTGACAATTTCAGTGTTGCAACGTTATGACAATTACTAAATAGTGACTTTGCGAAATTATTCGATATGGAAATTCAATATTTCTGGATTGATTATTTTCGTTTATAATTGTAATCTCGTAAACTAAGTACTTTAGGAAATTAAATATTTCTGAACCGATAATTTAGTTTTGCGATTAATTAACGATCTGAGACTTTTCTTTTATAAATTGTGTGTGAAATAAATAAAAAAATGCAATCATGAAGGAACATGACAAATAAAACAGATGTATGTATTATGGTAATAAGTTATTTTATAAATTGTCGCCGTCATCGCTATCGCTATCCTGTCACTTTCTGTAACATTTATTATAAAACACACACACTGATTGTTTATCGATTTTTGTGTTCATCACTACACTATTATATGTGGTATCATTATTTCACAAAATGACAGTAGCTATTGTCAAATCTGGAATCTAATTAAAATTCTGACTACAGTATATTCACGTGAGTAACCCGCGTTTTTACTTAATGAATAAAAGTATATTTATAGTGTTGAACTACTATCAGTTATAATACTTCATATTCCAACTTCTAATCTCAATTCATGCCCATTTATACTGCTCTCCACTAACTGCATTATAGACCTTATTTCCGATGTTGAGAGACTACTTTTCTATGAACAAATGATGTGGATTATTAATAATTGCGGATTACTCGACGAGTTAATAATGTACAAGCTGTTTGCCCATACACAGAAATGTGTTTCTTGTGTGTTGTATGCTGCCAATGAAGACGGAATGTTCACAGAAATAAAATTACTGTTTTTGTATCCGTTCTCGAAGAGAGTATTTATTGTATGGCTATTAATAACATAATTTTGTTAGTAGGTTGCGTCATGAACGCGCCGATATCGCACACTCTGCAAAATGTTAGTATAGCAGAATAAATTAAAAAGTAAAACAATTGAAATTATGTGGTGATGCTCGTACAAATAAGTTAAATACAATAGATTAAGTTAAACAAATATATTTTATCATCGACAAATTATGAAGTAAGTAGGTACTTACCTACTAATGTATTTTCCTGTATCAATTCATTGCCAGGAAGAACTCTTATCAAGAAATATATATATTTAATATTTGCTTTATTTATTTTCACACTTGTTTTATATATTATTTTTAAATATTAATAAAAAGTGAAAAGTGGGTGTTACATTGTACAGTGGAATTAGGTGCCGTAATATTCTGCTTACCCCTTCAGGGATAAAAGGTGTGATGTTATGTTTGTATAAAATGTATTAGACAAAAATAATTGATAAATTATTTATTTATTTATTTATTTATTTATTTATTATTATTGTGATGTTAACACGGCTTTACACCAATTACATTAACACACATACAAAGAGAAATCAAAGAGAAACAAACAGTTACAATAACAGAAAAGAAGAGAAAAAAAAAAAAAAAAAAAACCATTAAAATTCAATTAAAAAACATAAAGAAAAATCAGACAATTACAATAGTAGATGACAAAAAAAAAATGTACCTATAACACAGTAAAATGAAAACAAAACATTTAATTATACACTTCAACACAGACTTCAGAGACTTTCACAAAAACTGAGACAAACCTTTTTAATAACTTTAAACTCGTCCATGAATAGGTCACAGTCAGGGTAGGCTTCCACGAGGCTATTGAGCGCGGACAGGATGCGAGGAATGGGGGACGATGCCCGGGCCACGGTACGACTTGCAGGCACGGATAGTAGACGGTGCCTCCGGGCGCGTATGTAGTTATTTGGGGCATACAATCGAATCAGCTCACTGTGGAGATCAGGAGCATCTATGATCCCTCTGCAGATTTTGAGTGTGATGTGAAGTTGATTGTATGCCCTTCTAGTATCCAACATATTAAATCCTAAACATCCTGCAAGGTACTTTGTTGGATACATGTACGGATAGTAACCCAGAGAAAATTTGTAGAGGAACCTCAAGAATTTCTTTTGAACTTTTTCAAGTAGGAGTGAATAAGATGCCTCGTATGGACTCCAAATGCAGGAGCTGGCCTCTAGCTTGCTCCTGACAAGAGTGTTATATAAGAGTCTTATCACGTGTGCATTCTTGAAATCTTTTGAATTTCTTAAGACGAATCCAAGTCTTTTGAATGATTCCTTATGTTATGTTACTTTGATTTAATTTACTATTTGAATATTGAAACTGATCGAAAAAGAATTTCTTTTGAGTTTCTTGCTTGTTCTTCTCATTAATAATCTCAATTTGCAACAGGCAAATAACTTTACTAGGGGAAATTTCAAAAGTACCCTATATTGGTCTTCATTCTGATTTTAACAATTAATTACTACTTATCAATCACTTCGGTTTAGTATCAACATGGTATGATATCGTGAGAACCGACCCCACCTAGATTTAATAGACACGATTAATTAGTTGTAAGACTTAAAATAGGTACTCACCAGGCAAAGTAAGCTCATCCAGCACATCCACATTACTCAGCGCATCAGATAACGACACTTTTTCACTCACAGACATGTTTAATCCGTTTCAAAACACGGATATAGCGAGAGGAAGTGTAACGCACAGGATGTGAATAATTACGCTCTATACACACATAAGTTTATGTTAATTGTCACTTGAGTGATAAAACAAAACTTGTTTTACGTTTTCTAATAGTAAAAGTTAATATTTATGTTCTAATTCATTAGATTTTTCAGTTTAATTAACTTTTACAAAACAACAAGTAGTGAGTAATGGCGAACGTTTGACAGCTAAACATTATTAGTAGTGGTGCTACCCACTTTACGCAATCGACCACAGATACAAGACGCCATGTTACCGGTTTTGTGTTACGGTTTTTTTTGTTATTTCGCCTATTGTAGCGACCATGCGCAACAGCTACTCGATTGGGAAATAAGAGTTCAATTATTTATGACGTCACACCCAATGGAGTGACAGATCACCACAATTTCACAGTACCTACCTATGGCATTCGTAACCGAAAATTACAAACAGGTTTAAAATAAGATCTTAACTAAAAGCACTCCTATTGATTTTAAAACATAACATTACGACCGTTATAGTCACTATATTTGTATGAATTACGCCATTTTGATGTTGACGAGGTTTTTTTATGGCATAAGCCGGTAAAGGAGCAGACGAATCACCTGATGGTAAGCAATCGGCGTCGCCCATGAACACCTGGAACACCAGAAGCGTTACAAGTACGTTACCGGCCTTTTGGGGATTAGGAGTTTGGGGATCGTTGGGGATTCAGGGATTGGAGAGAAGGGGAAGGGGTAGGGGGGATTGGGCCTCCGGTAACATCACTCACACGACGAACACGACACAAGCGTTGCTTCACGTCGGTTTTCTGTGTGGCCGTGCCATCTCGGCCGAGGACTCGAAGGACCCATTCGTGCCGAAACATGGCTCTCCCACACTAGAGGTAGGCAGAGGTGCTTATTTTAGAGATAGAATACATTTTTCCGAGGTTACGTAATTATATTACGAATCCTATACTCCTATTTCACCTACTAGAATTTTAGACTGTCATTTGTTAGTGAGAAATAAAAAGTAACAATAGTACTTAACTTGTTCAACACAGGAATCGAAACCGAGACCTCTTGGTCGGAAATTGCACTTGTAACCACTGGACTAGCGAGGAAAGGAGCACTCGTAAATCAGCGTGCTTGTATGACAAAAGAAGGATATCTTAGTAGCAATAGTTCAGTACGCTCTGTAGTAATTTCTGTAAGGCCCCATGAACCAAAGCCGTGATATTGTAAATAAAGGTATCTTATATAAAACAAAATATTTGCGAAACTTTACGCCAATAGGGATGTAACAGGATATGAACATTAAAAATCTAATTAGTCCGTCAGTTAGGTAACGAAAAAATATTAAACACGTATTTTTTTATTTCGTCGTAAAATAAAACAATACTTAGATAAAACGAATCAAAGTTTAGGAGTGGGAGGTAGCTATGTCATTTTAAAGCATAAATCGTACTCAAAAGTGACGTCATGCAATATTTCAAACCAATATAAATTTTCGAAACTATTCAAGAAAATAAAAAATACGTGTCTAATGTTTTTAAATAATCTAAGTACCAGACGGACATTAAAATAAAAATAAGTCATCTATCCTATTGCCTAATCCTAGCTTGCAAAAATGTCAAATAATTACATTTGGTGTCAATTATTATATTATACCTACCGGATGGTGTCAGGTAGCGAAACCTTTGATCATAATAATTATTATTCACGTATAATATATATGTATAATACCTTGCAACCTGAGTATGAATAAATACGTTTGTTGAGTTCACAAAGTTACACCTTTGTACTTGGTAGGCAAAAACTAAAGGGAACCATCGCCAGGGCCGCCTGAGACTACGCTGGTGCCCTTGGGGGCACAGAATAATTCGGGGTCCTTTGGAATGTTGCCCTACAATAGAAGAATTTTTTTTTTCGGCCACCGTAATCGCGGGCCTGCGGACGACGAGCATAGGTGGCTCGCCGCCCGACGAGAACCAGACCCGAGGGCACGGCGCGTCGCGTTTCGAGCGCGCTTTAAAGAGCCATCGGACCACCACGGACGGGGCCCAATAGGACTGATGCCAATACGGAGCCACGGAGCATTAACGCGTCACCGGGGCTCCGGCTCGAAGGGCAGGAGTAGGAACGGGGTGGTTTTTATCAGTAAGGGTCTGACACTCCCTCCCTCCTCACCCAGGCTGGGAGGTCATTGGATGATTTTCCCCCCATAAACACTAGAATTTTCTCCTGTAGAATCGTTTTACTGTCTGGGTGTGATGTGTGTAGATACACACACCTCCACCACACCCAGACCCGAAACAACAATTTGTGGATCGCACATAGATTTGTTCCGTGCGTGAATCGAACTCGCTAAACGTTGCGGGGCAGCCGGTAGCCGCGCAACGTGTATATATATTAAAGACAAATTTAAAAAAAAAAAAAATATTTGTGATGTCGCTCAAAGATAATATAAATTTTCTTAGGAATTAAAACCTCGCTGGTAATTTTAGGGGTAAAAATAAAACAAAAGAATAATATGTACAACATTATATTCATGTAGTTTGTTAAAAGCCTCCCTAATTTACCTGTGTGGATCTTCCTTCCATTTTACATATTATAACAACCAAGATATACAAACATACAACATATTATACTAACTAATAACATACTAAAGGCAACTCATGGTATTTGAAATAATAAAATTCGGTATTTGCCAAAGAGTTAAATTCAATACTTTTTTCGAACTGTCAAAAACGACAGTTTTCTTTGAATTTTGTACGAGATTATGAATTGTGACGTCAAGTTTTTTAGCGAAAAATAGCATACTTATTTCTTAAAAATTTGTTGGAATAATACTAAAATTAAATCAACTAATGAAAGTGTAGTTATTTTTAATATTTTATTGTATTGAACAGTCGAACAACTTTTTTTGTTTAACTCTTTCAGTCTTGGTGATCACTGTAGCCACCTTTTCTTAGAAATTCAATTTTTGAAGTATGCTTCTAATTACTTTGCATTGGTTTTTAAGCATTTCTGTATAATTGAATAAAATATATTCGTAACCAGTTAAAAGTGTGACTGAAAGAGTTAAAATTCTAGCTCTACTCGTTACCGGTGAGACAACTGCCTTAATTTTTTCATCAAAACAATTTCTTTTTTAAACTAATCAAATTGCATTTTTTGCACAGAGAAAAATACGTATTCAGGACATACAATCAAATATAACAAATACTTGCAAATTAAAAAAAAAACATATTCAAATATAGTATATATAATTATAATATTTATATATCTTAGTAAACTTTAATTTATAATATTTACAACAGTAACTTAATCAACCACAGCTTAGACCAGGGCTGTCCAAATAAAAGCCCGCGACACTCATTTTAATCTCAACATCATCATATGTGCAACAACAATAATAAAAGTCAGTGTATTATTTGTACACAAATTTAGTCTGTGAGTAAAGAATACAATGTTAAACGTCATTATAGAGGTATAACTGAAAATATTTTTCTGGCCCTCCAGCTTTTGTTAGAAATTTAATTAGCCCGCGAGGATAAATTATAGCTTGGAGTTGGACAGCCCTGGCTTAGACTATTGCTATCTCTTACTAACCCACAATGATAGACTAGAGAATTATATTGCAAACCTGATTGAAAAAGAGTAACCTATGGAGTTTCTTGCTCGTTCTTCTCCATATGAATCTAGACCTTGCAATGAGCAAATAGCTTCACTTCTATTTTTTATTGATGTTCAAAAGTGCTTTTCTGGTCTATTTAAACTAAATGATTTTGACTTTTGTAGAAAAGGACAACTGCACATTCAAAATGTTCTTAAATAGTTAATAGCCGTCTCTTTCTTTTTGGAGCCCCTGTAACCCGTTGGGTTCTCTGCGACATCATCATTCTGATAGAATTGAAAACTGTGGCAATTTGGTACCAGGTCGAATTCACTCGCTTGTGTAGGTTAGTTGAAAAGAGATAGCTACAGTTAAGTTGATTTATAATAACAGTAATAAGATATTTATTGAATTTAACTAAAACAAATGTATAGGAAGTGAGTGTACCTAATTTAATGTCTGTCTGACGTCACAAAGTGTCACATTTTGTAGCACGTTATGACGTAACGACCTCCAACTCCTAAATTTTGCGCCATTTTATCTAAGTATTGCAACTTAATACGAGAAATAGAAAAAATTTGTGCCTAATATTTTTTCATTATCTAACTGAAGGACTAATTTGATTTTTAATTTTGATACCCTGGGAACTACTCAATTGGGATGATGACAGGGTATGAAAATTAAATATCTAATTAGTCCGTAATTTAGGCAATGAAAAAATATTACGACACGTATTTTTTTATTTTGTTGCATAATAAAACAATACATATATAAGACGAATCAAAGTTTAGGAGTAGCTAAAACGTCATTTCCACGTATAAAATGTACATAGAAGTGACGTCACGCGACATTTCAAATCAATATATCGTCGGAAGTATTCGTTTCTGTAAGAAAATAAAAAATACGTGTTTAAAATAATCTACCAGACGGAAAATAATAATTAGGCATCTACCCTATTCTGTCACTACAAATTTGTAAAATAACAGAGATGGCAAGATGTTTAAGTACAACTTAAACTGAGCCATTCAGTATTCGGGCAATACACCCATTTTGAAATTATGACCTTTTATATATTGATAAAAACAACAGGTAAAAATAAATGTAACAGATTCATAACTATCATGAGAGACTTACTAAATTAACTGTAGGAGAGCCATGCTTCGGCATGAATGGGCCGCCTCGACTGCAGTGATACCACGGCCGAGCAGAAAACTGACGTGAAACAACGCTTGCGTTGTGTTTCGTCGTGTGAATGAAGCTACAGGAGGCCCAAGTACCGGTAAACGAGCAGACAGATCGCCTGATGGTAAGTCATCGGCGTCGCCCATGGGCACACGGAACACCAGAGGCGTTTACAAGTGTATTACCGGCCTTTTGAGGATTGTTGGGGATTCAAGGATTGGGGAGATAGGGGAAAGGAGATTGGCAATTGGCAGTAACCTCACTCACACGACGACACACAATGTAGGTAACAACTTTCTCACAATCACGCCTCGATAGTAATAAAATAGGCCCAATATGTACTTTAATGTTAAGAACCAAGCCTTTTAGTTACAATTTTCTACACTAAAAATAATAAATAATCATATCTTATTGCTTAGCATTGACATAAGCGCACAAATTATAATGTACGGTAGCCAGGAGGGCATCATATGCCTTTACATCTTCAACAATACACCCTGAAATATATGTCACATTCGTCCCGAAGTAAAATGGTTCTGTCTCGGTATCAGTAATACAATAGTTTTACAAAAAAATAAAATTTTAAAAACTAAAAATAACTGGTGAACCATTGCAAAAAGCAAACTTCGAAAGCGCATACTTACTCATAGTTATATTATCAAAACATCACGCCATGTAATTCTCGAAGAGGTATTTTTTGTCAAGTGACATGTACGATGCGAATACTGCCTACTTTACGTCTAGTGATTCATGTGCGTATTTTCAAGATTTTTTTTTAAGTAAAAAAAATATATAATAATTATTTTTTGATTTTCTTTATACATCGTAAGTACTCCTTATGGCAAGTTCTTTTGCCGCGGGACGAAAACGAAAAATAGATTTCATAGTGTATTGTATTGACATACAAGTCGAAAAGACAATGACAAATTTTGACACATTGGAGTAGGTTTTGTATCTAAGACCAACTTTCGCCCAATTTAAGTTACAAGGTACAAGCAGTGAAGGCCCAGCCTTGCATACAAAAATTTTGAAAATCAATAACACATAGTAAATATAGAAAATAGTTAAATGATAATCAGACTTGTGATAACTTATTAGCACATTATTCTAAATTAAAACTATTGCTCTCTTTCTAAAAGTAACAACCGTGCATTAATCACGTTTTTTTTTTTTATATTTGATAGGCCGACGTTTGACCATTGTCTCGCCTGGTGATAAGCGATGACGCGGTCTACGATGGAGAACGTCGTCCTTGAAGCGGCCTTGAAGACACCCAGGTTATACCCTTCAGGAAATACAGACTCTGGCAAACAATTCCACTCCTTAGCAGTGCGCACAAGGAAGCTTTTTGCGAAGCGCTTCGTGCTGTTCAAATTTTATAAGGTAGCGCGACGTAACGACTTCCCAAACTTAACTTCGTTTTATCTGAGTATTGTTTTCTTATACAACAAAACAAAAAAAATATGTGTCTAATATCTAACAGCCAGACTAATGACATTTTTAATTTTTATACACTGTATATTACTCTATAGCGCTGTATGGTGTCTCAATCACTCAGCCGCCATTTTCGTTGCCAGTGCTATCCTACAGTACAATTGCATTGATTCGCTCGTTTATTATGATGATGACTATAAATACCAGTGTTACAGCTATGAATAATGCTTGGAAACATAAAAATTATACAACTTATAGTAAAAATAACATCCTGTTGTCATTAAGTCTATATTGTATTTATCTATAATACAGTGAGTTTTGAGAATCGCTGTCCAATTAGAAATGTATAAGCAAGGTCGTAGAAAAAGAGCGGACACCGTCTCTTGAAACAACGACTGTGGCACCAGCAGCTATAGCCAAATGCCATTTAGCGCTTCTCTACTTGTAGAATAGAAAACCAAATTATATGGAATTGACGTACATTTTGACCTATAGAAAATAATTTGAAATATCGTGTGACGTCACAATACGCTACATTTTGTAGCACTTAGTGACGTAACGACCTCCCACTCCATTTTATCCAAGTATTGTAACTTTATACGAGAAATTAAAAAAATGTGTGTCTAATATTTTTTATTATCTAACTGACGAATTAATTAGATTTTTAATTTTCATTCCTTGGCAACTACCCTATTACAAGCAGAACATAAACACATTGAGACGAAGGACATCTGTCATTTTGTCATGTCTGGTAACGTGGTAACCCACACACACGCACACATAAATAACCCACTGGCACTGACATTCTGGTGCTTCAATCCATCGACATATACTAATGGACATGCCCTACGCGTATAATCTGCAGTCATTTTTTGGTTTGAAAGAGTGAGAGAGATAGCCTATGCTTTCGGTCTAGCGCTATCTCTTTCTCGCTCATGACGTCCTAACTACAGTACTATTTTGAGAGAGATAAAGATAGGCCGAAACTTCGTTTCCTCTCTTTCTTTCGGAGTGCCACAATCCTCATCTCTAAGGCATGTCCATAGTATAATTATGTCGATGCTTTAATCATTTCTAAGTGACATTATGACGGCCTTTTTCAATGTCTTTGAGTATAAGTATCTCAATTGATTTATTTGTTACCTCTTTGCGATTGGTCTAACTACTCATTTATTTTAATTTTGTATACATGAATGTACAGTTGGGAGCACAGAGGACATAGGCAAAATTTAGTACAATCCAATACATAAATGAAATCTTCATAAATATGACAGCGTTATACGTATAAATATATTTTACATACTAATATATACATCGTGAACTACAATAATATCTCTGATAATCTCGATATTAAAATAAACTAAACAATAATTTAAGATATAGTTTCAGATCCCGAAAATTATGGCCTGTTAAACAATCTCTAAAATAGTATATATTAGGGTGCGTCTATATCTGGCGAATGCGCACTGCGCGCTGCTCAACTCATACAAGATTCGTATATCGTATCCTTATCCTTACTTATATAATATTATAAATCGGAAAGTGAGTTTGTTTGTTTGTTTGTTCCGCTTTCACGCCGTAAGAACAAAACCGATTGCTTTGAATTTTTGCAGACGTAAAGTTAGAAGTCTGGATTAAATAATAGGGTACTTTTTATCCAGGAAAAAAAATATTCTCGAGGGAAAACGAAATTATTGGTATAGATGGCGCTGTGTGTATTGGTATATGTCACATAGGCTACTTTTTATACTTTTGTGACGCGAGCGAAGCCGCGGGTAAAAGCTAGTATATGATAAATTGAAATGCCGCGAAGCATTCGCCAAATGGCGACGCACCCATAGATAAAAGACAATGCTCAAAAAGATCCTAGGCACGGCGTAGCACACCGAAACCATGGCGAAACCCACTGTTAGTTGCTATAGAAATTCTGCACAATAAGTACGAGGAAGATTGAACAATTACCTACTAATTTAAAAACTGGCTATCCGCCCGCGTTTATATAAGAATAAACGTATCTAGCATAGAGGTCGTGGAACCGGCCGTATATGTATATATTATATAATTATACCAACTGCATTGATATAGAAAAATACAAGTTATATTAGCAATTAAAGGAGGTTAAATGATGTGTTTGTTTTTTTTTTTCTTCCTTGGCAACCGAGTCTCCAAAACGGTGTTGTCGACTATACTGCCAGTGTCGAATGGTGACGGCAAATTAATGAACCGTCTTGTTATGTATGAGATAGGGGCAAACGAGTAGTCCTATCACTTGATGGTAAGTGTTGAGTGCCGCCTATGGACACCCCAAAACATTAAAGAAGTTACAAACGCGTTGCCACCTTCTTAAAATGGAGTAGATACTGGTCATATTTTCATATTGTTCCCTTAGCTGGCAGTAAGGTCTGAGCCTTTTTTATGGCCAGTACCCAAACGAGCAGACGGATCACCTGATGGTAAGCAATCGGCGTCGCCCATGGACACCTGCAACACCAGAGGCGTTACAAATGCGTTACCGGACATTTGAATTGACCAGGAATTTGAGAATTGTTAGGGATTCAGGGATTGGGAAGATTGGGGAGGGTGGAGGGTTAATTAACTCCACTCAGACAACGAAACACAGCGCAAGCGTTGTTTCACGTCGGATTTCTGCTCGGCCGTGGTATCACTCCGGTCGAGCCGACCCATTCGTGTCGAAGCATGGCTCTCCCACACATAAAGAACGAGCATAATTACGAATTAAAAGTTTTTATACCCAAAAGGTTTTCCATTCGTCTGTATGTTTTTTTTTCTATATCAAATCAGTTACCATCATCAAACAAGAAGAACTTAGTTTTACAAAACCAGCTTTTAATTTAAAAGCTAGATTTTAAGATCCTGTACAATATACACATAATTATTCCTAACAGTTATTTGTAAACATATACAATATATGAAATATGCTACAGCGCTACAGGATACAACATTTATAATAATTATAATGTTTGAAAACAAAAATAGTATCTGTAATATTTGCAATAGTCTTTGAAACTTATTGGATAAGATTAAGGCTATATACAGAGCCTAATGGATGCCATTGGAGGAGACCAGAGGTGTTAAGCCAAATTGTCATGTGTGACATGGATATAGGTACTAAGGAACAATTATCCTGCGACACGTTGATGTTGGTAGACATATCGACCAAAGTCCAGCAATTTCATTCAACGTCCCAGGATATTTGTGCCCTATTGTATAATTAGCTTTATTCCTTAAGCAAAGAGAGGGACGCCGCGCGCTCGTAAAGTGGCGACAGCGCCAAAAAAATTAAAGGCACCAAGGAGGTGCTTGCCTAGAGTTGGCATTTTGGCAACCATTTTAAAAAAAAAAAAAATGTGTACTAAATAAAAAAATAAAATAAAAACAGTATATGCATTATTTCTGCGGCTTAAAATTGTAATTGTACTTAATACCATGCACTTTCGAATAAATTAGTTACTGGTAAGTTTTTCTCAACAAACAAATAACTTTACTAAAATGTTGATAGACAAGACATAATTTTTGATTGTACCGTTAACATTGATCGTCCGATTAAAATAACCGGACAATAAAATTTCGGTTCAAACTGTACTGAAAGAGACAAAATGCAGTAATCAAACTTATTGGTTATCTAAAATGAGTCTTAAACTTGTCAGATAGAATCAAACTATGCACGACTAAACATGACTATTCGACTGATTGAAAAATATTAAATGCTTTACCTTATCTTAGTCCAGGGTCTTGACAAAACAGATCACAAGACGCACTATTTTATATATACACATTTAAAACTCAATAGGCACCTCTTGCATAACAAGCGTGTAGCCAAGATTTTGCAACGGAGCAAACTTTTCAACGACCGGATTCAGTGAACCATATTCCGTTAACTCCACAATTGGGGCAGGAATTTCAAAGTCCACGGACTGCATATAATCTTCATTTTCCTCTATATTTAGGTCATCGAATCCATTTTGAGTGATTTCGTGTAAATTATCAAAATGGATTTCTGGTCTAGCGTCCTGGAACGGCATTTCTGGGTGGTTGAGACGTATACATTTGTGTGAACGGAGCAGTGATGGCCAGACGAAGGTTTCTTCGCAGACTTTACATTGTAGTGTTTCATAGTTTGAGTGTTGTGTTTCAATATGACGGTTCAGGCTATGGTTTGATGAGTAGTATTTGTAGCAGGTCTGAAAGAAAGAAAAAACAATTTATTCAGCACTAGGCACGATGCAGCATAAATAAAAAGAAAATAAAGGTGTGACAGTGGAAGTAATAAAAACATTGAGTTAAAAAATTAAAACAGAAGAAATAGAAGAGAGATGTTGACAACATGCCTATGCTAAAAGGGTCACCCACTCAGTATAAGCCAGGCATACAAGTAACCCACCACTGATTTTCAGTGGGCACCCATGCGGTCTGTAAAAACAATGGTGGAATATTATTCAATAGTACACTAAGATGGCTCATCTTAATCTTACAATACAGATGAGAATATTGGTCATTGGCTCGTTGAGTACCGTCATTATAGGCACAATTAAAGAATAATAGGTTGCGGTCACCAGTGACCGCTTGGTGTTTGACAGTTAAACTAAACTATGCTAATATGCAAAGTTGAAGATTTTGTTTGTTTGAACAAACCATTCTCTGGAATTACTGATCAGATTAGAGTGATAATTTTACGTCTTCTTTTTCTTAAATGTAGACAAAATGACATTTTGTCTACATATTGTGTATAAAAGAATTCTCAAAGTCAAAGCATTTATTTCAATAAAACCATAATTTCGTCCTTCTTATATGGAATAGTGGGCAAACGAGCAGCCAGATCACCTGATGGTAAGCGATCAGCACCGCCCATGGACACCTGAAACACCAGAGGAGTCACAGGTGCGTTGTCAGCCTTTTAAAAAGGAGTACTTTTGAAACGTCAACAAATACAGAATAAATAATAGTTGTCAGTCTGTCCATCAGTGAAGCTAAGGTGCTCATTCCAAAGTCAAATATTCAAAGTTATTCCTTAGGTATAATTTATCTGGCGTTGGAAATTTGGGACCTAAGTTGGGTAGTTCATTTATAGAAGGCTACAGACTATAAAACGTGACGCTAAGACTAATAGAAGCCAAGCAGCAGATGAAACCCGCGAGAGAAGCTAGTGTTATTTAAAATAAATTATAAAATATAAAAAAGACTATTAACATGTTTTTTAATTCTTAGTAGTAGCACGGAGTCTGGAATTGTGCCTGGTATATGGCAATAGGCTCACCCAATATTATATGCTGCCCCATCACTACTTCCTCCGTGACGTATCATGACGATTGCTCGCTTGCCAGGCGACGCCGCTCACACGGCCGGTTTATGCGTGATGTTTTTGTGGAACTACCCGCAACTTACCTCACATTTGTTATAATAGTTGCAGATTTTTATAACAGCTTGCGTTTTGTAACTTATATATTTTAAATATTATGTGGGTCCATTCTAAGTCTTTCACATACCACTTACTTATATCTGTATTCAAGTTAATATCAGTGTAAAATTAAAATTTAATAACAATATGTCTTAATGTTTATAAAGGCGGTACAGCCTGTGTAACGAAATAAATTATGGTAAGTCTACAAATAGAATAAGATCGTTTGTAAACAGTGATTGTAATCATATTTAATATTAATAAAGAACTTGAAAAATCAAAATCAATCAATATTATATGGGACTCGTTATGAGTCCCAATAAATAGTGAAAAGTGGGTGTTACATAGTACAGTGGAATTTAATGTCATATTGTGCACCTCTGCCTACCCCTTCAGGGATAAAAGGCGTGATGTTATGTGTTAAAAAAACTATATGGTACTAACCTGACACTGGTACTTGGAAATAATAGTCTTTTTGCTCTTCGGATCAACGATGGCCTTCTTAATATTTCCGTTATGAATATCAAACTTTTTCACATCAACGAATGCAACGGTGTCCTTAAGAACTTTACCCCCAACTTTAATCTTCTCCAAAACTAGTTTCGGTTGCAAAAAGAGTGGGAGCGGTTCATCACATTTGTACGTCATTTTCAAATCTTTCTTCACTTTTTTCCGTTCTTGTGAATTATCACTTGTGATTAGAAAATGTGTCCATTTGTGTTGTAACATATCTGATTCCGTGTCAAACTTTTTAAAGCATTGGTCACAGAAGTAATAGTCTTTATAGCCAGTCATAGCTTTATTTGTTAAGTCCGGTAACAATTGTACGTGAAGTTCTAAAGCATCTCGTTCAACGGAGCTTTCTTCGCAGAAGTTACATAAGTAGAGTCTCTCGTTACCCAAGTTACGCATAGCGTATAGGCAGGTAGGTCTGTCATTTGAGTGTAGGAATGCAATATGATGTGCTAGTGCACATTTACTGGTGCATTGATCCTTGCAGACATCACACACATAGCTAATTGTGGAATGATCGTAACTGTGATCTTTCAAATCCATGAATCTAAAGTAAATATCGTCACAAATCTTACAAGTGTGGCGTTTCAAAACTCTGCACACGTTCCGTCTATGATCATTATATCTCAGCTTATTCGGTAAAAATTCTCCGCAAACATCGCAGTGCAGTCTGATATGAACTTTGAAGAATGTGCGGTCAACAAAGTTCTTACTGCAATAGTTGCAGATATAGGATTTACGCTTCTTGTGATGCAGTTTCATGTGTGACCGAAGTAGCTGGTACGCTTCAAAGATCTTCGGACACTTCCTGCATTTATGGTATTCTTTGACTTCATGGACTGTTACTTTGTCTGAGAAGGAAACTCGTTTTTGTGGCTTACAAATGACCATGTGTTTATTTTCCTGGTGTTTCAAAAGCTTCCGTTTATTCGAGTATCCTTTATCACAAATTTTACACCTCATAGTCAACATTGTCGAGTCTAGTTCGCTGTCAGAACCTGAATCTACGGTCCGACTCTTATCAAGTTCTTCCTTTAGCTTATTGAGGTCCTCTCTCACTAGTTGTATAGAACAATTGTCCAAAAACCGGTGTTTTGAGATTGGACCCCTGAGCTTCCGTTTCAAACGAGGTTTCTTGCCAGATTCTTCGGGATTTGCCTTTTGTAGGTAAGGAGTTATGTCGTAGCGCGCCACAACGACTCTGGGTAACTTCTCGAAGCCACGGAAAGCGATTTGTGACGAGATATCTTTGTATCCGTCAGAAATGATAGTTTTATCAACCACCTCTCCGATATCACTGTAATTCTCCTCTTTTTCTTGATTATCTCCATTTCTTATGGACATCAGAGGGCAAAATAGACGCGGGAAAATAAAATAAAAAGAAAAAACTAAGAATATTGCTAAAAACGTCAACAACAGCGCTATATGTCATGCTATGAGAAATAAATTCAGAGGTGAGGTTAGAGGAGGCCGTAATTTTTTGTCGAAGTAAACAAAAGTCAAAACCGATATTTTTAATTTTTGTTGTAAAATATTTCACTTAACACCTTTATTTTTCCTTTTCCTTTAAGAAATTAACAAATTCTCTTTCAACTATAATAGCATAAGATACTTAATTATCCATCGTTACTTTTATTTCATATAAATGTTCGATGAAAAACCGTAACCGGTGTTAGAAAATATTTATGTGTATCTGTGGAACCTTTTCGAAGGTGCGTTCTGAAATCATATTTTTGGAGTCCTATTGGAACATACGTCAAAAGGCGGCATTTAAAAATATTTTATTAATTAATAATAACAGAAAAAATATTGTTCTGCAGCTTACTTACTTTTAAATATTAGTTTTGTTACTTTGAGGTATGTAAATTTTAATATTTAAATTAGTTTGTTTATGAAACGTCTCGTTCTATGTGTTTTTTTGTTAATACTTCATAACGTGTCCTTACAATACCTCCAGTTTTATTGGTTGTGTTATACTAATTTATGTTATTCTATTCTAATCGTTATTTCGTAAACAATAAGTATTACAATCCCATCAAACAAAAAATCTTATTACATAATTTTTACCACAACTGTTTATCTAATTTGATTTTTCTTATCCGTTGTAGGTACGTACTTCAAGTACATCGTTCACTCCGGGAAATAATCAATCGGATAGATTTTACGTAAACAATTTATTTTTAAGCGGCCACCGCGTTCGTTAAGCAGTCGAAATGTTTCCGCCGACTCGAATAAGAAGTTGTCTTCCAGTTATTAATCCAATGTTTAGACAGAAACTGCGTCCTCATAGGCCGTTCCGTCAGACGGCTACAGTTCATGGTAGCCAAACAAAGACAGTTCAGCGCAATAAATGGATGAATTTCCGATCTATTATTACGAGATGGGTACCTCTAGGAAGTGCTATTTACGTCGGTTGGTGTTATATTCGTGCGAGCATCAATTACGAAGTGTCAAAAGTCGAAATTTTATTCTACGAAATGTTTCCTTTCCGTGTTACGAGCAGAATTTGGGGGAAACTGGCTGCTTGTGAGCTCCCGACGTCTTTACGAAGTTTTGTCTACGGTACGTACATTAAAATGTTTAATGTGAACTTGAATGAAGCTGAATTTACTGATCTGAAGTATTACAAAAGTTTATCCGAATTTTTTACAAGACCTCTCAAAGAAGGTGCGAGGTATATATCGCCTTGCCATTGTGTCTCGCCCTGTGATGGTGTAGTTTTAAACTGTGGTCCAGCTGACACAGATAAAATAGAGCAAGTCAAAGGAGTCACATACAGCCTAGAAGAATTCCTTGGAGAAAATAAATGGAACAAAAGAAAAGATGATAATTATTACAACTCTTTATTAAATAACAAAGACAATGTGTTACACCAGTGCATCATATATCTGGCTCCTGGAGACTACCATCGGTTTCACTCACCATGCGACTGGACAGCTACGTTCCGAAGACATTTCTCTGGCAAACTGCTATCTGTAAACCCATGGCTAGCGAGACTCATACCTGGGTTATTTGCCATCAACGAGCGAGCGGTTTATGTAGGAGAATGGAAGCACGGTTTCTTCAGCATGACTGCAGTAGGAGCTACGAATGTTGGCTCAATAGAGATATACAACGATCCCGAATTACGAACAAACACGAAAGGCAAGCGAAACAGGATAAGCGAGATTGACTTAGGACAAGTGCAGTTGAAGAAGGGTGAGTTATTCGGACAATTTAATATGGGGAGTACGATTATTTTACTGTTCGAAGCTCCGAAAGACTTTAAATTTGACATGGCTTCCGGTGATAAAGTTCTTGTTGGGCAGGCGTTGTGCGAAGCAACGAAGGAACAGGCGAGATGACCTGTTCGTTATGATTTAGTTCACTTAGCCCAGGTGGCTATGGTTTTCTACATGTTATCGGTGTTGCTATGATTTTGTATTGTAAATATTTTTTTTCAATCTGGCAACCATCATGTTGTAATAGGCTGCATATGTCTGTAATTGTGAATTGACTCCCAGTATCCAATTGGTAATTACTCTTCTTAAATGTTGAGTCGGCTTGATACAGTTCCAATTAGTTTCTAATAAGTTTATCGAACAGATGTAATCGGTGCTAATATAGTACCTTTTTGATTTGGTAGATAGTGATTATCTAAGTGAAGTCAACTTATATTTTCAACTTTGAATCTGATTTAAGTACCAAAAAGGTCCAAATTGACGCCATGTCCTCTCTCTTTATTTTGTATTCATTCTATGTAATAAAATTTGGTAAACTATTGTGGATGGGTTATGAAATTACCCACTGCTTTGTTGGTCTAGTCATAATAAAGACAGAATTAATCTTTAGGTCAGGAAACTTTATTGAAGGATCATTTGTTCATTAACTGCCAAGTCCCAAGTCACCGGTGACTGCTCTTACTCCATTATAGACCTTATGTCCGATGGTTAGAGAGTGCCTTGGTATAAATTGTTGATTTTTCATTAAATAGCATAGAGACAAAATAACCAGTAGCCTTATAGGTGCTTAAAGTAATACAACTTTTTATTTTTTTGAAATACTAAGTAGTAGTAGTAGGAAGCTCGAATAATATGTATTAAGCAATGTCATGAGCTAATGGTAACATGTAAACAGTGACTCATGTAGTGCAGAGATTCTCCAGTCAACTGATGATAGCATGGACTGTCCAGGCAATACGTACTTCAGTATTACCATGAGCCTATGATTACATGTAAACAGTGACTCATGTAGTGCAGAGATGCCCTGTCAACTGATGATAGCGTGGACTGTCCAGGCGATACGTACTTCAGTATCACCATGAGCCTATGATTACATGTAAACAGTGACTTGTGTAGTGCAGAGATGCCCAGTCAACTGATGGTAGCGTGGACTGTCCAGGCGATACGTACTTAAGTATCATCATGTGCCAATGGTAACATGTAAACAGTGACTCATGTAGGGTAGAGATGGTCCAGACAACTGACGGTAGCGTGGACTGTTCAGGCGACATATTTAGGAATCAAATAAGTGTAATAATAATTCTTCCGGTTTGCGAATAACAAGAAATGATAATTCAGATTATTTTATTATACTTTGTTTAACATTGACCCTATTAATTTTGTCTGCAAACCATGATAAACTCTCTTATAGTGGTCTCTATATAATTATCTTTATTAATAATATTATATCTTACATCGTAATTGTATTCTTAAAAATATAATATTTGCATCAACTGACACTTATATTACTCTTAGGGTATGGGGTTTCTTGCTCATTCTTCTCCACTCGAATCTACATTTTGGAACAAGAGCCTATCATCGACTAAAAACTTTATCATTATTCTATTAAAAAAAAAAAAGTTTTTTACAATGTCATTGATAGATTATCTGATCCTTTAACTATTTTATACATTAACCCTCTAATCCACAAGAGGTCACCGGTGACTACTCTCCATTAACTACATTATATACCTTATTTCCAATGTTTAGAGACTACTTTTGTATGAACAAATTTGGGGAACGATTTTTCAATACATACATACTTCTTTAGCATCCATCACATTTACCTGGCCTGGAACATTGCTCAGCAGTATTTGACCAACGTGACAGTCTATAGACTGTCGTAGATGCCTAATTTTAATTTTAATGTCCGTCTGGTAGATTATTTTAAATCATTACACACGTATTTTTTATTTTCTTACAGAAACGAATACTTTCGAAGATATATTGATTTGAAATGTCGCGTGACGTCACTTCTATGTACATTTGATACGTAGAAATGACGTTTTGAGCCCCCACTCCTAAACTTTGATCCGTTTTATCCAAGTATTGTTTTCTTATACGACAAAATAAAAAAATACGTGTCTAATATTTTTTTCATTACCTAACTTACGGACGAATTAGATTTTTAATTTTCGTACCCTGTCATCGTCCCAATTATAACATCATCATAATAAAATTATAAAAAAAATAGTATTAAAAAACATATAATGGTTGTCAGATTGAAAAAAAATCTAGATATTCTTCTGAATTTAAATGTTAGCTATATATATATAGTTTTTTTTTTAAGAACTTAATCTTAAGAAATGCTTATTAAGCTAATATTATTGTGTAAAAAGTTGAAAGAGTGACATTGTAACTTGCAGCTATTTCAAATCCATGTGCTCACTCCATTATAGACCTTATTTCTGATGTTAAGAGACTACTTTTAATGTATGAACAAATTTACTTTTTTTTTTTACATTTGATGGGCCTACGTTTGACTATCTCACTTGGTGGTAAGGCGGACTAATTAGATTTTTAATTTTCATACCCCGTCATCATACCTACCTATTATACAAGTGTAGTTTTGAAGCCGTGTCATTTCTCGGGGGCATGTCACAGAAGTCATAAAGGTTCAATTTTGGGCCAATAGTTAAAAATACGGCTATAATAAATCGTTTAAGTTGGACAGTATTTCAGAAAAAGCGACACCAATGCTTCTTATTGGAGTTTTATGGAATTAGGAATAATACCAATAACGTGTTTGAGTTTGTGTGTGTTAAGCCACGTTATAAAGCGAGTAACAAGACGGCGGCGTGTAGTTCGCACTTACGAATTTCCGTTATTTACAGCAAAATGGAAAATATTTACCTACAATATTTTTTATTGATTCGGACTCAGAATCGATAGCCGAGTTACTTCCTAGAAAATGATCCGGCTTTAAAAGAACATCTTGTATTCGCGATTGTGGTTTTTTTGTGTTTGGAACTCACCTCTATCGACCTCTTTCGGGACATTATACAGATAATAATAATCAAGTTTAAAGTTACAATGTCCCTTTAATTACCAACGTTGAATTAGAGACGTTCTTATATCGATCTCGACTTTTTTATCGACAAACTAGCCTACCTGACGTATATGTGCTACAATATTTTTATAGTCTATGTCACGGTAATAATATTATAATAAATATTACCGTGACTACATGGTGGTACTTCAATATTTTCCAATCAAGTACCCTCGCTTTTCTCGGAAGTATTTATAGTCGTAAATGGTACTTATAAAACCATTTTAATGCGGGTAGTTTTACATTTTAACGTGGGTACTTAACTTAAAGGTTAAAAAATAAAATATTTTGGAGTCGCCATTTTCATGTTTTCGAAGTCAGTTAGTAAATCGAAACGAGTTTTGACATTTTAAGCCGTTATTTTCAAAACTAGTCTAGATTTTTTGGAGAATTTTGCGAACAAAAACTGTTTTTTGTGTATTCTTGTGTTATGCGTGACAAAATCGACGTTGTGTCGTTGGAATTAAAGTGCAATTCGCGATAGTTCAAATGTTTTTGATATTTACAAGTATATATATATAAAGATGTATGTATACATTATGGGTGTTTGAAAAATGCTTATATATGTATTAGTAAGTCCGAAACATCTTCCTAGGGGATTAAATGTACGAAAATAAATTATTTGGCCCGTCTTTGGCTTTAGGCTAGTTTCTATTGCAATAGGACGGTCCTTAAATCAGACAAAGTATTATTTATTGTATTTTTAAAGTGAATATGGTCAATATTTAAAACAGATTCTGATATTGAAGGCTTATCATGATAGTGGCTTCTCAAAACTGTAATGTATTGGTAGCTGGTTACATTTTTGCTCTGCTCCTATTGGCCGTAGCCTGAAGTGTCATAGCCTTCCTCGATTCGGAGTCGCGGAGAACCTAACGGGTAACTGGGGCTCCGGCTCGACGTGCAGGAGAAAGAACGGAGTGGTATTAGTCAGTAAGAGTCTGACACTCCCTCCCGCCTCAACCAGGCGGGAGCAGTCATTCGATGATTTTCCCCCCTTTAAAAAAAAGCCTTCCTCGATGAATGGTCTATCCAACCCATAAAGTATTGTTAAATTCCACCCAGTAATAGGGTAGATGCCTAATTTTTATTTTAATGTCATTTATACGATTATTTTTCGAAATTTATAACTTATTAGCTTCTGCCCGCAACTTCGTACGCGTAATCCCAATTTTTCCCGTCCTCGTTCGTGATTTTCGGTAAAAAGTTAAAAAAGAAATATTGGTTACAAAGTATCCTATGTCGGTCTCCTGGCTCTAAGCTACCTCCCTACCAATTTTCAGCCAAATCTATTCTGCCGTTCTTGAGTTATAAGTGGTGTAACTAACACGACTTTCTTTTATATATATACTAGCTTCTGCCCGCGACTTCGTACGCGCCACCTCGATATTTCCCGGTCCCGTTCTTAATTTTCGGTAAAAAGTAAAAAAAAAATATTGGGTAAAAAGTATCCTATGTCCGTCTCCTGGTTCTAATCTACCTCCCCACCAATTTTCAGCCAAATCTGTTCTGCCGTTCTTGAGTTATAAGTGGTGTAACTAACACGACTTTCTTTTATATATATAGATATAGAATATAGATATAGATATAGATAGATAACTAACTTAGCAAATATGTGTTGCAGAAAAAATCCGTTTATTTTTTGTCAATTGGCAATTGAGTTTCTAGTATTAAAAAATAGTTATTCTTTGTTCTGTATAATGAAGGTTCAAGGGTACTGTCAGGCGATGTGAAGTGTCAAATTCATTGAAGACACTCTGATCTTATTCATTGGCCTCTATTATTATAGTCTGAAAAATAGAGTCCACGTTGTTTTTCAAAAAATAATGTGATCTGTTATTTTTCGATAGTTATGCTATCGGATAGTGCCCGAATCTGTTAGTATAAGAACTACGGGTTTTTAATGGGTCCTAATTATGCACCGTGAAATTTATTTCGTTTTCGTAATTACATAATATTTGTTTTTAGTAACCTGTCAAAAACTCTGTAACCTTCGTCTCTGCTCTGTTCCTTAGGGAAATAAAACAAGTGACATATTTCGAAAAACCAATTAATTAGTTCGTTTTTTTTGGAACGTACAAATAACCTTGAAGTCTATGAAGTCATCGTTCGCTGAAATTGTGGCAGTAAAGTTCTAATCTATAATGATTCATTGAAGAATGTATTCACCACATACCCAGCTATGAATACCAGTATAAACTGACCTTTGATTGTACAGAAAGATCATGTGAAGCGGGACCATGATAAATTGGTTTTGTATAGGTCATTGCGTAGTCGTGTATACGCCCATTCCTACCCATCATAATCAACAGCCGAAATACGTCCACTGGTAGACAAAGGCCTCCCCCTTAGTCCTCCACGTCAAAAGACAACTCGCCACTTGCATCCACTGGCTCCCCGCAATTCTGGCGATGTCGTCGGTCCACCTAGCGAGATATCTCCCCACGCTTCGTCTTCCGGTCCGTGGTCTCCACTCAAGGACTTTCTTTGCCCATCTGCCGTTATTTCGTCGAACGACGTGGCCTACCGATTGCCACTTCCGTCTGCAGATTTTACGAGCTATGTCGGAAACTCTAGTTCTTTGCCGAATTTCCATATTTAGGATTTAGTCGCGCAAAGAAATCATGAGCATAGCTCTCTTTTAGCGTTCAACAGTATAGTTACTTGTTCCTTAACAATTTGCTGGAAAAATACTGAAATTAAGTTGGTCATAAAATCAATTATTGAAATTGTGGTTATTTTTTAATATTATATTGTATTGCACAGGCGAAATTATTTATTTTTGGTTAAGAAAAATACCCAATCGTAGCATTCGGCGTTCTATTGCTTCTGACTTTTCCACTGAGAGATGAGCATGACGATGTCTATGTATTCTATATTTATGTACGTACATAGGGAAATAGAACATGTTGTGTATACCTAGGCGTGTCAGTGTATTTTGTAATATTGGCACATGTGCAAAACCACACCTATATCTTTATCGGTTAAAGAATAAAATATAGGGCAACCGATAACCGAATATTTGTCTTTATCCTCTTGTCTGCCAGTATGTAAGACACAATCACTTCATCATAGTATAAAACAAAGGCGCTATCCGCCGTCTGTCGGTCTCTATGTATGCTTAGATCTTTAAAACTACGCAACGGATTTTGATGCGGTTTTTTTTAATAGATAGAGTGATTCTTAAGGAAGGTTTATATGTATAATATATCTATATTGCACCCGTGCGAAGCCGGGCCAGGTCGCTACTAATATATAAATATACTACTAATTGTGTCTCGCGTGGACCTACGTTCGGGAGAACATATTTTTTAATCTAACCGATACTTTTTGATTCTGTAACTGTATTACGAAAATTAATGACTGATTTTAATTAAAAATCTTTGTATCAATCAAGATCGATTTTTGACATACTCAATACAATTATTGTCGAAAATCGACCTTATAACGCAAATTTTATATTGAGATCAGTTTTTATCTTTGGCTGTAATTATATTCGTGCTTTACCTCGAAAATCTCAGGTTTTTATCAAAGTTGGAATTTTTAGCCCCAATATCAGAATCTGAACTAAATCCTCATTGGTCATGGTCATGGCATATATAGTATAGATAATAAATAAAAGATTTTAATGAAATTAAAAGTATTTGTATATATAAATTGTTTTTGTATATGTGTAAAACAAAGATATGATATAAAAGAAAAGATTTGTAAAATCGACCACAAACGTCTGTATTGTTAATCATTCGTAAGATCCCGTAGTTTTTGGCAGTGCTAATAAAATATTTTAAAAGTACAATTAAAAATATATTTCGGGATATCGTGTAATGTATGACAGAAAAAACAAAGTTTTATGGGTAATATATTGGAAAA